AACTAATAAAGTTGAAGATAGTGTAGTGACTCACATTTATCACGAGAACACGACTGGTTTAATAAAAACAATTATTATTATAACCGACTGTACCAGTGTTTGTTTTAACGTGCTTTTGTTTAACTGTGCTAATTATAGCCATTTTGTGCTTCCATTACCTTCCATCATTGTTCTGCGGTTCTCGGTACTGTTCGCACGTACTCCTGTCTTCTGCTTCCACTTGTACCATTTCCTGGCACGATCTCGGTATTCGTTCAATACCACGAGATCGCCAACGAAATAAATCTGGTTACATTCGATCTTCGCCTTCTGATTTATCTGGCACGTGTTCCTTGGTAGCGGTGTTCATAGTTAATCTCAACTCGACGCCACGCCACAATAGTGTTCTGAATAGTTTGCCAGAATCAGTCTGGATATCAGTTAACACCCTGAATCATAGTCTACTCCTTGGATGTATATACAGAGCTCCTGATAGTTCGAATAATGGGAATGATCTTTTTATCAATGCATTCATACATGCATCTTCTCTAAACTTTAATGCTGAGGTTATCACTGGGGATTTCAATTATCCTGGGATTAACTGGAGTACCGGTAGTTGTCAGTCATGTAACGATGAGTTTTCGGCAATCATTAACATGCACTGCTGGTCACAGTGGGTTCGTACCCCAACTAGAGGCGGTAGTATACTCGGTCTAATATTTAGTAGAGATATTATCCCGCTATCTGTAAAAGTATACGATGAATTCGAAAGCAGTGACCATAAGATAGTAGCTTGCTCTCTTCCTATCTATCCCTCTTATAAACGACCCATTCAAAAACCTGTTAATATAGAGACTATGAGCATGCTGACTGGAACTCCTGCATTCACTAATTAAACTTTCAGACTGGGATAACTTTTTTTCATGTAATAGTATCATGGATGCTATCGACGAATTCTATCTGATCGTTAACTATTGTTTAGATTCCTGTGCACCCTTAAAATGTACAGGTTTAGTAAAACTTACGAACTATATGTATCAGCTAAACTTCGTAATAAATAAAATGCCTACAGAAACGTTATTTTAAGTCAATCGACTTTACGGCAGTTGCACAAATAACAATAATTTTTAATCAAATTAAAGAGAAACATAGGTCAAAAGCCATAAATGAGGAGCTACTAGCACTCAATATTAACTCGAAAGTATAAAACTTGATTCTCCTTTTCAATAAACGAGCTAAAGCAACTCAAAATGTTCAAATATCATGCATCCAGCATAATAGCACTTTTATATACGACTCTAAAACTATAGCAAACCTTTTCAGTGGTATTTTTGCGAATGGTGTAGAAATTATGAAAGGCTCTGTCTCAAGAGTCTAGTAACAAACAAAATCTATCTCACATGCTTGAAAATTAAAAAGGATATAAATACCCTTAAGATTTTGAGAGGTTATGGAGTAGATGGGATTTTATCCTTTCTATACAATTATGGTGATCCATATTTTTCATATCTTATTGTAAAGCTGTTTACTCACTTTATGGAATCAGGCTCTTGCCCTTACTGTTGGAATGCCGCGTATATCATATTACGTTGCAAATCTGGAGATAAGATTGACATGAGCAATAATCGGCTCATAAAGATAACTCCAGTTATCCCTAGGATTATGGAAAGAATCATTAGTGATGAAATCTCCAACTATCTACTCGCCGAAAAAGTTATCGGTGATACTTAGCATGGATTTCTGAAAACTCGATCTTGTATGACATAGCACTTTGACTTCCTGAACTTAGTCTGTTCTCAACGTTCCCAAGGATATCTAGTACTAGTGCTATACTTGGACATTTCTAAAGCCTTCAACATGGTAAGCCACCGACTTCTTATTAACAATCTCGCATCTTCTGGAGTCGAAAACCTTTTGTTTGTCTGATATTATTCCTTTCTCAGCAACCGACATCAAATAGTTAAAATTAACTCCTCATTGTCGAACGCTGTTCCTGTTAGAATTGGTGTAATACAAGATAGCGTTTTAGGCCCTTTGCTCTTTTCGGTTTTATCAATGGTATTTATGAATGTTTTTTGTGGGTAAGCCACTTTTCTATGCTGATGATCTTAAAGCAGTGTGTTCTTTTTCTCCACATGAGCTGGACAATGTGTAAAATTGCATTAGCATGGAGCTTAACAAGGTAGCGCAGCTGTGCTCAACTTGGCAACTGGGGCTTAATACAGCTAAATGTTGATGGATATGGTTCCGTAAAACACCACTCAACTGGGGTCTTCTGATGAATGATGAAGTGTTATTTAGGTTACATACAATAGTAGACCTAGGACTTAGGTACTCCTACGACTAGTCATTCACAGAACAAGTATTGCAACAGTCTTCTAAGTCTCAAGATCGTATAGGTCGAATAACTCAACACCTTTATGACAATGAGTCACGTATTTTAATGTAAAACATTTGTGTTCGACCACTCCTAGAATACTCCACGTTTATTCTTGGTAGTATGCGCATAAAGGATAAATCAAGGTTGGAATTAGTACAGATACGATTCACATTTCGAGTTCTCGGAACTGAATATACCTTGACTTGTAATTCCAGGTGTAATAAACTCGGACTCGACCCTTTGTGGAAGAGGAGACTCAAACTAAATGTTATCTTTTTCTTTCAAATAAATGATAAACTATCCTATACATCCAGTCAAGTAATTGAATATGCAGAAACTTTTAATCATGACATTCGTAACTCCTTGTCACTAGTGAAACAAACCCATTGTAAGCCATCTCTCTATATGAACTACTTTACCTGTAGATTTTCCGGACTCTGGGATAATCTACCACAATCTATCTGTAAGGTAAAATCATTCCCATCCTTTGTTCGCTGCATTTGTGTATACTGCTACTTTGAAAATGCATCAAATGTTCTAGCACCTGTAAGTGTATCTTATTCCACAAGTGAAATCATAGGAACTTCAAATGTTTAGCCATTCTTGTTACTGGATTCACTGTTGTTAATTTCCTGGGAACTCTAACTAATGTGAATGATATTTAGCATGAACAGTACATAACTATGTCACATGACACATGCATTATGGTAGACCTGGTTGACGTGTTTTGGTACTTATTACTTTGTCGTTCCGTGCTCTCTGTTTTCATTTTACTTTCTCCGGTTGTAGATGATTATAAATAATTTGTTATGACCTTAAATGCACCGTTTATAAATCAACAGGCTGTCCACTTAAGAAAAATTATAGTTTCCTGGCTGATGCATCGCATTGCTGTAATACATGTCATAAATGTACTACTTGAGCAATTTTTTATTAGCGAACTTAAAACGATCTTATAACACATGTTTGTTCTGTACATTTAATGTCACTATCTATATCAAACTGGTCATGCCTGTAAACAGGAGTGAATTCTGCAAATATTATTTTCAGAATATATTATTCTTATCCTAATTATTGCAGGACCTGCTAAATGTGGAAAATATTAGATAGGCATTATTGAAACCCCTGTGTATAATTGAATTTATGATTAAACCCGAAGTGGTTCGTTGTTTGTGAATAGTAATAGCCAGAACCGAGTCTCCCACCGCTTTATCTGGATTACACTCCTACTCAGATTCCTACATCTAATAATGCTATTAGTCAGGAAGCAAGAAGAAAGAAATTCACAATGAAGGGAAGTGGATAAAATGAAAATAATTTCATAGTGTTCTTGTCTCCGATTCAACCTGACAACCCGATATTCGGAAGTCACTTCTGTGGTAGCTGGGTCAAATATCTCTGTCGTGCTGTGGTACCTAAACAGCACTACAAAATTATGTTAAGTCGCCCCCAATCATAGTTCCGGTATGCTTGCTCCCAGTGTACAGAGGTATACCAACAGAGCTAACCACAGGGAAAAATAAGACGCCTGCGAAAAAACTTCATCAGTCCTGTCTAGAATACTCACTTCGCCCAAATCGGGCACAACCAATTACGGTTATGAGAGATACAGCTGTTGTTAACAGCAATGAATGGCGAGTAGACGTTAGAAGGGAAAATGGTAATAACATATCTCAGTAGCACACATCACATTAGGATCTCTTCTTTCCTTAATTATTACAAATGACCCTCCTTAGTAGGTATCATCTGACTTACTACTTTACGTTGATGATGCAATACACTTTAGGAGGATCTGACTAGAAGAAAAAGTTGGACAAACAATAAAGAGCTTATCTTTAACACTTCAAAATGCAAATTATTTCGTTTGAAACATGTTGCAGACTTCAAATGACAACATAGGCAACTCCCTAATAATGGTATTCAACGTTGAATAAGATCAAGGAGTGTTGGTATCCTTGGACTGATGTTGAAGCGCATCTTTGGTTATTTCGGTGGCAGATCTTTCCGCTTAATTTTAAATCGTTTTATTCAACCCCATTCAGAGTATAAAATACATTGAAATGTGTGTCAACTGAGAGCGACGAAATCAGTTCGGCGACTCATATTCAAACTTTATGAAGAGTGCTTCAAATCACTAAACTTTCACCCATTAGAGTATACTCGTCTTGGAGGCGACCTTTTAATGGCTCGCAACATCCTTAAAACTTTCAGATATCCCCTCAAGTACCTACTTAAGCTCAGTCTCAACACAAACATTAAGAATAACACTAAGAAACTAGAGACACATAATAGAAGAACGGACTGTGGGCACACCTTCTACGCCTTACGAATGGTCAGATGCTGGAATATGTTGACGAATGAGGTAGTCTAAGCGACTTTCCAGGAGCTCATTAAGAGGGAACTTGGCATATTCTTGAGGACTATGGACAGTATCTGATCGTAGTTTACCAATATTTTTTCTTTTATCGTTGGAGATATCGAGGTTTCTCCCCAGCATAATCGATGATCCACTACTAATTGATACAGAAGCTCGTTGAGCGAAAGCTTCTTCTCTGTCTAAGACCATATGAAACCATCTGAACGGCACCAGACATATTGGATATTGGATCAAGTTTAAGTGGCTCATTTGAACATGAGTTCACCAGCATGTTTTGGTCAGTTTTCTTCTATAAGATAATATTCTTTATTCCACAAATGGATATAAAACGTTCCGTATAGAAAACACAATCTCATGCAAAAAGGGGGTGCATCACCCTATTTGTTGGGTATAAGCCATTTTCCAGCGTTAAAATGTCTCGTTTCACGAAAAGGCTTGAAGTGTATGCTTTTATCTGCTGCTGTTGGTGGTGCAGTCATTAGTGTTTTGTACTATTGGTTCAAGTCCAGTAGCTCTTCGAAAGCTTCTACTCTTCATTCAGAGGTCGTTGGTGATTTGGATGATCTCGATGTACTTGATACAAATGTTGCCGATTACTACTCTCAAACAAAGCTATCGAGTATTCGAAGCGCGAGATCGGTTTTCTCTAGAACTTCAAATCTCAGTGAAAACCGCCTGACACTGTCAAGGTCTAGAAAATCTTCACTTCCATGTACGGCAAACGATTCAGATGTAGATGGCTCGTGTTCGGGTTAGATTATAGAAGATTAGGTCTCCATGCTTTAGCAGGAGTCGTCGAACATCTAGAATCTCTTATGTCTAAGGTTAAAATTCTCGAAGATAAAGGATTGTCGGCCTCAACATCGAACTCAGAGCATTTGATTAATGACCTGCGTATTCTTTTGGAACATGCTTATCGTTTGCGTGAACAGTACAAGCAACAGTTGGTTCACGATGAAAGTTATCCACAAGAATCAGTGGGGTCTTCAACGACTTCCCAGGAAGATACCTCCTCGTTCTTTTCTGCTTCTGAACAACTAGACTTAACAGAGCTAGAACTTTTAATGCAGTTTAACGTACGTAGGCCGCTTTATTACAATGCTTTGAAGTTGTTAAACGAAGGTGAAGTTCCATACCGGTGAGTCTTTGAAGTTTTTATTATATAGATATATTGGTTGCGCAAGAGTTGTTAGTCATTCATAAAAGTTCACCGTAGTCTTTTGTACGTCAATTAAAACTTCGGTTCTTTCTTAGATATGAATATATTTACTAGTGATTTTTTAGTCTCCACAAATTTGCTGTTAAGTTAACAAATAAAGTTACCGACTAACAATCTAAGTCATGTAAATGAAATTACTGACATTTGCAAGCAATTTATACGAAACGACAGTGCACATAACTCATTGCGTTAGTGATGATATGATTTGGGAATCTTCGTTCGAAAAAAGAGGGAAGTAACGAATTATTTAGCTTTATTTGAGATATAGTTCGCATTGGTATTGACCGTGTTATGTGGCTCTACCATCACACCGTATCGTTTTCGATGTACACTTGTTCGAATACCATATTCCCATCATTACTTAAGTTTAAACTCGAAATGAAAGTATTTATTGCTATGCTATTTCTAAGTTGAAATTATTTGTGATATAGCCCCATCGCCGTTTTATAAGTGCGAAAATCTCCGTATTTCGTTTTCGAATCCCTAATGAGCGGTACACAAAGATTGTTTATCTTCATGAACACGGTGCTTTCATGTCTCTAGTGTCGTAAATAACCATCTGATTTCTCTGCACTGAATGTTTTTATCAGTTTGAACTAAGGGTTATTTACAACACTTCGTCCAGGTAAATGATAGATTTCAAATAGGTTCAACTGTGGGTCACTTTCTCAGATGAGCTGGTTACTGAACTCTCAACGACTGTAAGTTACGCATTAGTGCTCATACCGCTGGCTGCTCATGTATGTCTGCATTTAAATAAGTAGTTTATTTGGAGTTACTTTATTAACTCCTAATGCCATTTAGAGATATATTTTTTTTCTTTTAATCTAAGTAAAATGTAGCTTCTAGATAAGTGGTGACTGGGTATCCGAGCAACTAATTCGACATAATTTAGTTTATATAAGTCCGCAACCTCTTCGCTCCTTTGATCGTACCTATGCTCCTGAAATCACCAACTCATTTTTCCTACTTCCGAGAGATTTTGCTGAAACATCCATGAATATTTTTCAAGATTTTCAGGTTTTTCAGCTTCATCTATCGCTTCTCTCAATGCTATTGTGTACCTTTTTGCGAGGTCTTGGTATTTGGTCGTTTCTGATATCAATATTCAAGGTAAACTTCTCTTCAGACCTAATCGATCTCTTTCTGTTTTTGCTACAGATTCAGCTCTTATCTGCGACTGGCACTAGTGTAATGACACATGAAATAATTTGTCAGATTGACCCATTTAATCTTCCGTACTCACATACTCATCATATCCAAAAAAGATCTGAAAGATTAGGGTTTTGTGTGGCTTTTATTCAGAATATATATTTTGTGTATTGTTTAGCTGAAACGGCTAGTGGGTTCCCTAAATCAGTGAGATCAAATAGAAGCAATATCTAATGTGAAAACTCGGAATATTGTTTTGAAAGATATAGTTCAGATTAAAACAATATAGCATGTTGACAGTTTGATGGCGATCACAGAGCAATCATCATTATGATCAACAGTATGACTCCATCTTTCAGGCTTAGAGTACAACAGCACCTATTCTCGAAACTAATTCAGATTCATGGAGTAGAATGTTGGTTTTCATATATTTCGACCTACAGTTCTGTTTATATGCTTAATTCTCATTAGGTGACTGAACATCAGAGATCTACGTGTCTTAGCTATTTACTCAATAGTATTCATTGGGGCTTGGTGATTAAATTACCCGATCTTCAATAATTGTTTTTGGTCCAAACCCTACTCCATATTTTTCATTTTGGTAGGCCTTATAACGCTACTTGGACACAAAATTGAGTCAGAGACAGATACGTAAACATTTATTTGATTAATGAATTTGATTAATTGATTTATTTCTCATTCAACTGGTTTTGGCTCAATACAGCCTCAAGGTATTCTTCGAGTTCCTATCATGTTGGTGTTTTCTGTTAGTGTAACCTACTAGATTAACCAGGTAGGAAATTCAAGTTGATATATCAAAATAATAGTTTCGAGTCTGACTGATTGTATTTACACTTTCGAATCTTAACTGTCACGTAGGTAAATATAGTTCAGTTCCTGGTTCAGTTTACTTGGTCACATGGATAGGTTACTCACAATAATTGTCAACCCACTAAACCCCATATCTTTGATCTTAAAATCTATGTGCTTTGCTTTTCTATCTATCTACTGCCTATGATATTTCATTTTTGCTAAAAGCTTCTTGCTTCTTGATTTATTGGTATATCCCTTATCATTAGTTTTCGAATTGTACTTGTATTTTCCAGTTCTCTTCGAACGCAATTCGTGGGGTGTGAACTTGACATTGAATATCTAGGCAAGGTCCACTGCCTTCGTCAAGCATTCGACTATATTTTTGACTGTCATGAACCCACTGACTGGTTTATCGAGGTTGGGAAGCGTAATGTATGTCGTTTACTTCATTGCCTTGGGTATCCCTTGACGGATTTTGAAGGGAATTATGAGTAAGTGTGGTTTTTGCAGTACTGGACGTCAGACACCTACTTCTGTTTCTTCGCTTTTGTAATTGAAAATCTCAACATTTTATAGGCACTAAATAGTAGGTCTTTAAAAATGCTGTAATGCCCTCATCTGTGTGATTGCTTCTATAAGAAAATTGAACTCTAGTCGTCCTCAGTTGTCATAGGACGTGGGTATCTCTGTTTTTACTGGATCAGTAAAGTCGTTTGTTCAGCATATAATCAGTCATCTGCAACGTATAACCGGACACACGTACGTTGACTCGAGTTGCCATACCATTTTATCACAGTGAGATAAAATTATCAAGACAGATCACAGAGTAGTAGTAGTAGTAACATTATTAGCGCTAGGCAGAACGATTAGGTGTAGAACAAAAAAGAAACTAAAAGGTATAAGTAGATTTTGGGATCCAGGAATTAAGGGGGGATTCTGGACCATTTATTCTGTTTCTGTTTTGGCTCCTCTAGCCTTCTAGCGTACTCCTACACCAAAAAACATCGCCCTTCGAATTAGACAGTGTTAGAATATGCAGCTCCCAAATGCCGTGGTACGGCCGAGGGTGGGGAGAGTCCTCTTTACCTCTTGAAACGCCCTCACATAGCCACCCGCATACAGCCACTGACAGGGAAGTCCTACTCACTACCTTCTCGTGGCCGGAGTAATGGTGCGACTTTAATACTTACTATAAGATGTGGATTTCAATATTTCTCACCTCTTATCCAGTGGTTCACCTGATAATAATTAAAGTGATAGGTCATTTGATCAAGTACTTATTTTTGACCTCATGGTCGTCACTAAAACTTCGAGTCAGGCATCCTTGATACTCTGAGGCTTTACCACACTAGATAAATTTACTAAAAACAATAGATATTTGTGACTAAAAGTCTTGGGTTGAGGTTGTACGCAAAATGCTCCAGTCACTGAAATGCAAGAAATTTGGGAGCTCACTTAAATAATAGAAATTTATTACTTTTATCACTTTTGTGATCTTCAGGAATAAAAAGGTAAGGTATTTTATCGTGTGGGATTCGGGTCGTAATTAAATAGAAGGAAGAATCTCAAGGACCAATGGGCGTTAAGGTCTTGTTCGTTGTTCATTGGTGAGATAGGCTGTCGGTCGTATAGGCAGTATAGAAGAACTAATCAATAATCAGACTAAATAATACTACTACTTCTCAATCACAGGGGCTCTAGCACAGTTTCAGGCGTCCGTTCTTCTGAAGTTGATAATAATAAGTTTTTGTTTAATGGATGTAGATTTTTACACAGGTTGAAATCATGAGTCAGTTGAAGCTAGACCACCATTGAAAACCTGGAAGCACTGGACGGCCGTTCCGTCCTGGTATGGGACTCCTCAGCAGTGCGCATCCACGATCCCGCACCACGCGGGGCTCGAACCCAGGACCTACTGGCTTCGCGCGCGGGCACCTAACCATTAGACCACTGAGCCGGCATCCAACGGTGTTAATGTCTAACTTCAACCAATCCACGAAGTTGCTCCACCATACATGATTTCAACCTGTATAATTTCTAAAACTCTTCACAAAACCCATTCGGATGTAGATTTGTAAGTTTATTTTCACTAGAGGCTGACATCATTTGGAAACCCATTAATAACAGCTGACGAACAGTAGATAGGCGTTTTGTTCTAGTTTTAGAAGAGATTCATCAACAGTGCTCGCTCACAACTTTATACGTGATGGAATTCTACTTTCACGTCTCGTAACAATGTGTGTCTTTGAATCATTAAGTTGATATTCACTGACTTATGTTTAAAAATCCAATCAATTTCTCATATAACACCATTCACTATTGATATTTATGTAAATTTTTTCCAACTGGATGTTTTTTCAAGTATATTTTACATATTTTTCAAAAAAAACTTTATTTACTTTTCAGTCGTCTTATGGAGTTCATTATTTCTCAAAAAAATAAGCCAAACAATATGATGGCTGAGGAACTATTCGCTAAAGGTGTAAAGACGATCAATTTTTATGATGTCGTCATTGATCTAATGCTTCTAGAAGCCTTTGAATTATTAGCTAATCCACCTAGTTCTGTATTATCTGTCACTAGACATAAGTGGTTAAGTGATAATTTTAAACGTTGCGCTCTTGATTCAACTGTTTGGACTATTCTATTGGCTAAACGGAAATTATTAAAATATCCAGATGGGTTTTATGCACACTATTATAGTATGGTTGGTACAGTTTTGCCTGCATTAGCTTGGGGTTTTCTTGGACCAAATGAAAATTATTTTCATATTTGTGATCGTTTCCGTGAAATTATTATATCATTTATTCGTGAATCATTTATATGTTATGATGCATCAACATCATCTACATTGGCAAGAATCTCCTGTTCAAATGGTTTACCATTATATTTCAGTGAACATTCCATAAAACATGATAAATTTGATAAAAGTATTTTCAATAATTATTCACTAGATGAAAACTTTATGAATTCTACCATTGATTCAAATGATAGTAATCATGATTATAATAATCGTAACAGTGGTGATGATAATAGTAGTGCGGGTACTACTATATCTGAATCTGGTCCTACAATAGTGTATCAGTCAGATCAGTTACCACAAACTATCTCACCGAATACAATTCATCGTCAAATTGGTTTACGTTATACAACTGTAGAAGATTTAGCAAATGATTTATATAAATTAATTAATGTTTATTCTCAAGATTTATTAAACATGTTCATTGACGAACTGAAATTATCTGAAAATACGCTACCATTTGAATTGGAATCGAATCCTGTCCAACCGATACTATGTCGTAGAGTTGAATAACAAATAGTGGATAATTTTCTTAGCAAAAATATGTTTTCAATTCCCATTTATTTTTATTGTTTTATTTAAACTCTTCGTACGTTGTATGTACATATGCATTTATTAATGTATGATAAACTTTTTTTGTTTCAATATTTATTAATAATGTCAATTATGAAACATTCCCAAATATAGAAGTGGATTTTTAGTTTTCCTGGAAACAAGTTTTGTTTTTGCTCAAATATGTTTGGAAATGTGCTTTTAAGTATTTCCCCCCTTTTTTTCTGGTTATTATTGATGAGTTACTTAAAATGTATGAGGACTTTTTTGGAATTCATTAATTTTAGTTTTTTTTATGAATCTGAAAAATTATCTTACTAGTTACTGACAAGACATACAATCTTTCTGAATTTCTATTAGTAGTTCAGAGTACTCTTTCGTTTACGGATTTCTTTGTCTCACTCATTTGATAAAGGTGATCGTTCTCATACACGGAGCATGCTTAAATCAATAGCTTTTTGTTTCCTTATTTCATTAAGTGATTTAAGTCCTCGGATGAAATCGATATATTTTTCGGCAAAAGATGTATACCGTGACAATGTATTTATCCACTGATTGGTCTCTTATATTGAAACCTACTATGTTATTTCAAAATACCACATCGATTCGATTGTTTATGTTAAAAAAATATTTTTACTGCTAGATTCCAACTAATTTATCATTAGTAATTTTCCTGTTGTGTATACTCGTTTCCAAGCCACATCTTTTTGCGTGGTACCTAGTGATATTAATCGGCTTTCAGACTGAAGTAAATGTAACGTGTTTTGAACCTTGTTAGAAATCAAGTATTATAACCACTAACCCAATGATCTCGTGATTTTCCCATCTTTTTTTATTAATTTCAATTCATGGTTTAATTCATTGTTCTACTATGAATCACAATGTATAGCATTTTCTAAAATGTTTGTAGTTCATGGATATGTTTCATAGTTTGAAGCAGTTGTCAGTCAATTTGGTTTTGAAGCTGTTCCGTAGTCTTGAGGGTTTTTCTACATTCACCTAAAAAACGCTACTCATTTAAGCTTTTCGATATTATTGGATGGAGTGATGGTTAGACCATTTGACTTTCACCAGCAACCATGAACCTTGGTGGTTGAGAAACCGATTTACACTTACATATACTTGTTAAATTGGTGGTTGCAATTTGGTATCCATCTATACATCTATTCTAGTCACAAACGATCATTCATTCTCTATTCTTCCCATAATCTTTACAGGTCCTTTCTTATTTGTTATCACTAATTATCTTACAGTTTTTTTCATGGATGCACCTACTCAAGCTATTCTCTCCGCTTTCTCTATTGTTCTTGGACATGGGATTGGTGACCGACAAGCTGCTGAACAAAGTCTGACTGCATTGGAAGTTCTCGAAGGTCAGTTCAGTTTAATGTTACTATTTTGTTTTGTAGCACTTAGTGAATCTTTTTTTAATCACTAGTGGTTTGGACTGTAGTTATTTCAAATTACTACTTACAACAATTATGTACTGTTCTTTCACGATACGGTAAGAAAGAGTGGGTTTACAGAATTTACTGCCTAGTGTGCTTTGGTAAAACTTGAATTGATGGTTACTTGTTGTTGAGTAATATAAATCCGTCGACTTCAGTAAAAGTTCACTAATTGTTGGTTATTTACTTCTCTGCCTAAAAAGAGTTTTGATTAATCGACTAGGAAATGATTAGACAGATCACCTGTCTTGAAGTCAGTTCGTTATCTATGCTAACACGAGTTTCCCCCAATTCCATGGTACGGCCGAGCTTGAGTGGAGTCCGCTCTCCCTTTCGAAATGCTCTTACATGGCCAAGCATATACAGCCATCTCCAGGGAAGTCTTACTGCCTTCTCGTGGCGAGGTTGTTGTTTACGAAATTGAGAGGACGAAAATCGAATGTCGGGCGCTTTAACCAGGTCTGTGGATATAGAGGATCCACCTAAGGGACTTAGTGCCTCCTTGTACCAATGTTTATGTGTTTAAATAAATAAATATAAATACGAGCTAGAGTATGATTCCACCTCTCTCGTGAATGTGACGATGATATATTAAATAGGATATTACGCTGATTTTTGTAATAAGTAGTGTAGGTACACTGACGGACTTCTTTTGGTCTGCTTTCCTTCCATGTTTAATCTTATAGAGGAAGTTTTAGGAAAATCTTTTGAAGATACAGCAGTTTATGTACTTAGTGAAGGATATTTCGGAGTGACAAATGATTTATAAAATCAATTCACAAATCACGTAACATTGACTTTTTCCATTACCGGTACCAACAGTTAGTAAACTTGTTCACATTTCTTCCATCCTTGATGAATTCTAAACTCGTAGTAGCTGGAACACGACGTGAATCGTGTTGGTTCAAATTCAAGTTTCAAGTTCTTTTTTTACAGCAAATAATTCACTCGCTATATATATATATGCTATGTTTGAAGAGATTAGGAGTTCATCTAATCTGCGAACGGAACTAAGGCTCAGTGACACAATGACCAAATATATACGTTACAAAATACCATGTTAAAAGAGGTGAACCAATAACACTTAAGGTTCTCCCAAGTGGGAAGTATTACATGAAGGTGAAAATGTGTACTTTTGGCGCAAAAACAAGAAATTCAAATTTTCAAAATAGAATCACAAAAATAAGACATTTGACAAGTGAGTTCTGGGAATCTAACAAACCTGCTTCGGTTTGGGCAGTATCACAACACACACACAAGTCAAGTGACTTGTTTGGCGCAGATGTATTTGGTACCCCTTTATACCAATATTTATGTGTTCGAATAAATAAATAAATAACAATATATATATAACAATATATGCACAGATCAAATCGCGACACTACGGATCATTGTTAAGCAATCACTTGAATGGAACTCGCCACTGTACATCAACGTCCTTGATTATGAAAAAGCATTCGATAGTGTGGATAGTAGAACATTTTGTAAACTTCTTCGACACTGTTTACCTGTGAAAATCGTCTACATCATCCGGAATTCATACGACGGACTACACTGCAAAATGGTGCATGGAGGACAGCTGACAAATGCATTCCAAGTGAGAACTGGAGTCAGACAAGGCTACATACTCTCTCTTTCTCTTTTGGTGTTTGACTGGATTATGAAGACCTTCACGTCTCAGGGTAAGCACGGAATACAATGGATGCAACTAGACGATTTGAACTTCGCAGATGGCCTGACCCTTCTATCCCACGAACAAATGCAGGTAAAAACAACCAGTGTAACAGAAGCCTCTGCAACAATATGCCTCAACATATATAAGTGAAGAAGAAAGATCCCCAAATACAACACGGAGAACACTAACCAAATCACACTTGATGGAGAAACCCTGGAAGAGATAGGATCTACCACGTACCTGGACAGCATCATCGATGAACAAGGAGGATCTGATGCAGACATAAAAGGCGAGGATTGGCAAAGCAAAGTCCGCATTCCCACAATTGAAGAACATATATGACTCAAAACAACTGTCAACCAATAGCAAAGTCACGATCTTCAATACAAATGTGAAGGCGGTGAGTTCTATTGTACGGGGCTGAAATTTCGAGAACTACTAAAACCATTATCAAAAAGGTACAAGTATTTATAAACAATTGTGTACGCAAAGTAGTCAATGTCCGTTGACCGGATACCATCAGCATCAGCCTGTTGTGGGAGAGAACAAACCAGGTTCCAACTGATGATGAAATTAGGAAAAGACACTGGCGATGGATATGACATACATTACGGAAATCATCAAACTGAATCACGAAGCAAGCCCTAACTAGGAATCCTGAAGGGAAACGAAAAAAAATGGTTGAAGAACACACTACGTCGGTACTTAGAAGCAGACATGAAAAGGATGAATGGCAACTGGAAAGGATTGTTCAGGACAGGGTTGGATGAAGAATGATGGTGGGTAGCCTATGCTCCTCCACGAGGGGGTAACGGGCGTAGGTAAGTTCCGCCAAACCATTAACATAATCTCGTTTTATGTTTATGTGCATTAGTAGCTTGATTATCAAGGAATATAGAGTAAATACGAAAATATTGTTTATAAATCATTTATCAACAAGAATAGGTATTTGTCACCAGTTTAATCTATGTTCTAATTAGTAGTGTTTAGTTGTTAAATACCTCATACAGATCTGCCCTCCCCCTCAACCATTTAGGACAATAGACGCTATTTATAGTAGTGTCACTTCCTAATGGACGTGTTGCACAAAAATTTATGAAATGCTGGTGCATGTGTGTTCACTGGACTAGATAGTCTATCTGTAAAACTTTTATTGGCACTTTGAACAACGCCATCAGCGCCTGCCTCACGTAGAAGTCTACATTTATTCATTTTTATTATCGTATCTCTTCATTTTACAGACTACCCAATCAAAGTAGCAAATATATTTTTAAATGATCAACTTTGTGTTGAATTACGTCAGTTGGCTGGTATTACATTAAAGAATTATGTAGCTGTACATTGGAGTGAAACATCTTGCATGTCGTTTAAACCACCAGAAACATGTGATAATGTGAGTTGTTAGCCTCCTGATCTCTGGTTACTTTTTGCCATGGTTTATTAAAATGTATTCATGATAATCAATTTCATAGCTTTTTAGAGGTGTTTCCTTACTAGCAACTTAATAGTAACGTTTACAACTAGTGCAAACGAAGGCTTCTTAAATTTCAGAAAGATTATTAATTTTTCACAAGTTTTAAATGTATTCTACTGATAGGTTCTATCATAAGTAAGACTTTTGTATGTGTATAGTTCTGGAATAAAACAGATATCTAAACTATTTTATTTAAACATTTTATCTCGACTTAATCAAAGAGAAGTTAAATATTTTTAGGTGGAATGCTTTTACTTGTATACTTCTTTGTTTTATTAAAGGCAAAATCCCTTATTCGATCTGGAATGTTACAGTTGTTAACTTCACCTCATCGATCAATTCGTGTGACAGCTGCTCATACAATCACTTTGATCGCTCAACATGATTGGCCAGAAATGTGGCCAGATTTATTTAATCAACTTATTACATTAATTCGACAATCATGTGTGAATAATAATAATGATATCAATAAGAATACAGTACATGGAGTTTTACGTGTATTAACTGGTAAGTGATTATAACGGAGAATATTATGTTTTTGTGAAGGTTTGTTGATTAAGGAAGATTTTATCACTAACTGTCGAATTACCTGTAAAATACTGAACAGTCGCTCCATTTTTTATTCAGAGACTTTTCAATAATAAGTATACAAACAATCCCAAATGGATTAAAACGACAATTTTCTGGCTTACTAGGGAATGTACAGTACTTATGCTAAAACCCCTCTTCACACATTTGTGTAGAAATGATTTCCTTTAAAATCACATGCTACTTACAAGTAGGTACGTTGCAAAGGGGAAATAATATTCCATGACTGTCTAATTATCTTCCATATAAGTTTATATGCATCTCATTTTGAAGCCAGCTTCTAGCCATCGTCTCAGGTTCGGACCACGCCCCACCTACTTCTGTTTGGGCTATCACGTGGTATTATTTACCCTTACACTTAGAGTATGGCTCATATACAAGTACCTGGTGAATTGGTTAAGTTAATTAAAAGTTTCTTGTAAGTATCGGAGTCCCTAACAATGCTTCAACGACTCCTCTCACCGAACGCTTCAGTACAGTGAGTTGGCATTTAATGGTTTACACTTATAACTCCAGTCATTTCGAGATATTGCGCAACCATCTGGTGCGATTCGTGGTTAACTGCCTCATATTCCACATGGTTGCATACCTGGTTACGACTTCTCACTAGAACTGTGAATATTACCTCTCAAAATTAGGTATGAGTAAGCACATGATTCGGTTTGTCAAACAATTTACTCCTACTATTATAGAAGTAATGTAAAAACACCGAACTAAATTTAAGTTTGAGTTGATCAACTTCATTTGTTACGTTGTCCTAGTAATATATTCAGATTTATACATCAACATTTTTCGTGTTTAAAGTTCTAATTTATGCACTTTCAAAGTCTTAACCCTTTTAATTGACTACTTCAAGTTATTTTTAATGAAAATAAACAACACTGAATTTTGTTTTTCGGTTTAAACTTACAGAGGTTAGTTCTGATCTATCTGACCTTGACTTGCCTGTAGTTGGTCCATTTATTATGCCTGAACTATTGCGAATATATTCAGATAAACAGGTAATTTGCTTTTTGAGAATTAAAGTACTTAGCATATCGTTCTTAAATAGTTATCTTGTGATTTTCTGTTTTTTTAATTAGAAGTCTGTTTTGAATTAAAAATAACTCCTGGAAAAATTAAATGTTCGGATTGTTTGTAATAAGGGTCATAAACCCAATAGTACTTCTAGTCACTCCATCAGATTTCTAACTATTTACACCGTTTTAGTAATAATACGCATAGCAATGAAAAATGACTCAAAATATCTCGTATGTTTGGCAACATTGGAGACGATAATTTCTAGAATCATACTTGTCGAATATGGTGAGCTGCTGTTTAGGAATCCTCACAATTCAGTTACCATTTTGACGATTAAATATGTTGCCCTGATCATTTTTTAGTGATTTATAACTTGGCCGAACACCAGGTTTGAATTTAACTCAACGATTGATTCAGGAAGATAATCTAGTTCGCTGTCATTAAACTATATGTTAGACAAATGTGCTTCCACTCAAGTCTTGACATTATATTACTACAGCGAGATGAAATTGCTGAGATAAATATCAGAGTAGTAGAAGTCATAGTTTATAAATGTAATAGTGTTAGGGTTAGTTGTCGTCGTTTGCCCCTGTCAATTATCACGTGACGAAGTCGCCAATCAGAATACTGACTTATATGACGTTGTTCCTGTGCTAAACCAGTGACACGTCAATCAGCGCTAGCAGCCTTGATTCAACTGTGAATCCTAATTTGTCCTCAAAAGAGTAACTTCTCGCCTAACCCTGCCTGTTGAGTCCAGAACACAATCCCAGCCTTCATTGTATCAGTATTATACTTCAGACGCATGTAGTGTATATACCAGACTTCATCAAACCCTAAAATGAAAAATAAGAATTATAAAAGATCAAACCAAATGTGACGGTTAGTGTGAGAGACTGTAACTAATAGGTTTGGAATACCTTGAGGATAGCAAATTTTATAATACTAGTCAATAGGTCAAAGGAAAACTTACGATAAAATAAATATAAATAATCTAGCTATTTAGTAGTTATACAATAAGAGTATATATAATAATAATCTATAAATAGTACCCAGAAGTTATCCATAATTTAGTCTTCGGATACAACAACAGCAAAATTAATTAGGCAGAAAATATTGTCCTAGGACAACGGATAAATTCGATCTGTTAGTCGTTCAGAACATAGCCCTGGCATATGTGTATTTCTGTTCACGTCGTAATCTCGAGTCAATTTTCCTCGTGGGATTCGAACTCTAATCGTTCAACTTCCCAATCAGGTATTCAGGCCGCGACTGACCCTTTGAAGTACCAAGATATGTCAGTGTTAACATTGTAGACTGTGTAGTTGGGTAATACGTGTTCTAATATTGCGGGGAACACCTCCAACTACTTTATATCTACTCGTATTATACGATTGTCCGTCTCAATACTTTCGCTGAATTTATTTTTAATCATGCCTTTGGCTTATCCTTTTTTTCTAGACATATGATCAGTCTACACGGCGGCGTGCTGTTATCACAATTGATAACCTCTTAAATATTGCTGTTATGTGCCAAAATGAGGTAGGTAGCAATTGATTTCTATTTAAAGAAATATGTATATACTGTTGTCACTCGTTAAAATTCCCGTGAGATATATATTACGAAGTTTGATTGATCAAATAATTTTTGAACGGAGCATATTGAACATAAATGATCTAATAAAGGATTATGGATTGTGTTGTGTACTAAACAGTGATTACATAGAATTATTTTGTGTTACAAAAATAAACTGTCATGTTTGATTATTTCATCATTATGAAGGATCTGAAATATACCGTTTTTGATATATTTGACTAAATTTCGATCAGTCTTTATTGGAATATATGTATTTTGTGAGGATTGTCTTGATATGGCTATTTTTCACAAGTTTTTATAAAATAGATGATTAGTAACTAGGATTATTGAAGTTTACAGTAGGACTCGAGTTCAGTAGTCTTTGCTTCAAACGCCCATAATTTAATCCTGAATATTAACAACGGGACATTAGTAAAATTTGTATGAACAGCATACTCGTTGAATAAGTCCAGTGGCTATCTAGACTCATTAGTTCGGTGAATAACAAGTTAGGCGTTTAAAGCGAAAGTTACTGGATCTAAGTTCTATTGTGAACAACAACATTGGGGATGCATCTTAATCCAAATAACCAATCGCAAATACAGTAATACTCACATCTTGGATTTTACAACTAGCCACAGATCATTTATTCTAATTAGCTTATATCTGATATTTAGATACCTAGTTATTGAATAAATAACTATTTGATATTTATCAGAAGGGGTTTTGTGGAGATTTTAGAAATTTCACTGATTGAAATCATGAGTCAATTGAAGCTAGACCACCATGGAAAACCTGGAAGCACTGGACGGCCGTTTCGTCCTAGTATGAGACTCCTCAGCAGTACGCATCCACGACCCCGCACCCCGCGTGATTCCAACCCAGGACCTATCAGTCTCGCACCAGGCGCTTATTGATATTTAACCATTACACCCTAGCTATACTTGTAAAGTTTACGACTAGATGTAAGTGAACTGTTGCGTAATATGAATGAAGTCTATATATATCTTTATCTGTCTACTATCATTCATTTAACATAAAAAGATTTTGTTGTTGAAAATATTTCTTTTTGATTTATTTGTTTTCTGTTTTTGTAATGCACTTCCGTTAAGGATATTTTAAATGACTTTGTTAATCGTTATATTTGTCCATCCTTGGGAGCAATTATTAGTGATCTAACTACTTATGATGGAAATTCAACAATATCACAAGTATCACTTAAAGGTGAACTTATACAAGTAAGAAACTTCTGGTTTCTTTTGTTTATTCTACATGCTTTAATTTTAACTCTCTTTTTAGCTACTATACATTACTCTATAAAATAATGGAGAAAATTTGTAGCTCAGATGAATACTTTTTTCTGGCGTTGAGTTTTCCGAGTTAGATGGTTTAATTTTGGTACTTTGATTGTCATTCTAGATATCTTGAACATCTATTTCATGTTGAAGTGAGCTTTCTAGTTATTCCATAAATGTTATATCGGTTCATTCCGACGGCTTTGTTTGTGATTGGCTGTCTTCGTGGGTTTTGCTATGTTCATTTCTCTTTGGATTCACGCTGAATATCTTTGTTGTCTGACCTCTTCCGTATGTTTTTATACATTGGAATTCTTAAAGTTTCTCCGACTAAGAATTTTTGACGTTTTTTCAAACGAATCTATGTGCATAATTGTCTGCCTACATTGATGTCAGTGAAAACACATCATGTCACCTCACCACTAATCTATGCTGCTTTATACGTAAAGGAATGGGGCGCCCATTTTGTTCAGTGTGATATTTCTCCACAGTCAAATCATTTAGCTCGAAGAACTCATCATGATCAAAAATATCATTCTATAGTTTACATCTCCGACTGACAATATATAGAGATCATCACTGAAAACCCGGAAGCACTGGATAGCTATTTTATCTCAATAGTAGGCTATTTGGTATACTAACGCTAATCAATTCATGTAACCCCTTTTTCCCTTCAGTTCGGCCAATGGGAACACGAGAAAAGCTACCTGATTTACTTTTTATTATTAAACAGCAATTATAAGATATAAACACACTATAAATGAAAAATCACAATCTGTTTATAACTAGGTTGTTTGTGGTACAAGTGTACAATTAATAAACCACGATTTATAGGCGGTACAAAGTATATCAACAGTTAAGGAGTCAAATAGAAACTTACATATGAGGTAATACAAAAGTATCATAATCCAAGTATGATATTGCATTAATTAACATTACTTTCATCAACAATTAAGTCATATTTTAAAAATCATATTTAACGTTATTCTTGAACAAAATGTATAAAGTCACTTAACTCACTCATTTTATTGCCATTTCTTCAGCTTTTAATTACACTTTGCGTTGAAAATCGTAAATTTTTCTCGAATTTTCCTGGTTATAATATATCACAAATGATTAATATAGTGTTGAATTTGGTTATATCCTGTGTTAAACAATATACTGAATTGCAAATTGCTTCAAACTCTTCAAATGAAAAAGAAGAAGAATATGATTCTGATGGTGGGTTTCTCTTTATTAAAGCAAAAGAAAATTATATATTATTTCTAGGGGTCTGAGTTATACTGTTGTTTGTATCCAGGACTGAGTTTTATAATCAGGCTACATTGATATAAGTAATTTCTGGGTGGATTGCGCCCTTATAACCATTTTGTTATGAGATTTTTGAATAGATAGATTAAGGCCTGCATTGGAGTTCAAGATACGCGTTTCTTTGTATCTAGAAGTTGTCAGGTGGATGTACCTGTATTTCAATGTTGATATCCATATTGGTATATGAAGGTACCTGGAGCTACAGTGTTCGAGCCCATCGTTTTTTCCGTTTTATATTCTGCTAGTTATGTACATGACAGGATACTATTGGGCAATTGACCTTATTTTGCTTCCTCTGTTTTCCTATCATATAACTTTTCCGTTAAACTAAACTATAACACCGATTTCGGAATACTCCGTAGTCCATGGGAAACAGCGTTTATTATTACCTAACTCTAAAAACCTGTGGGGTTAAACAACACAGATATGTTTACCTATTTTAAATTTTTTTAAGAATTGAATAAATTCAGGTCTTAACTAAGCTTTACATAAGGTAACAATTAACTATCATAACGTTTTCAATTTGGTACAGTAACTCTCTTGTGTTTGACTGGTTCGGTGTTGGTGTTGCCCTGATTTTTTGATTAGATTAGTTTTCTTAAAAAGACAGCAAACCCTAATCAACTTAACGCAGTTTGAAATGGTTTGGATTATCCCGTTGTTGATATTTTGGTGATGTATTTTGTTGGTGTATAGACATCCTGGGCGGATCGCCTCGATACTAACTATTGTGACACAAGTTGATATAGAATAGACGAAATGTAGTTAGCAGTTGAATTCGGAAAGTACGTTTCGTTCTAATTGGGACTCGCCAATTATATATACCTGTTAGCCACATTCCATCTTAATATAGTGAGCCAACAAGAAGTAGCTAGTTGAGAAGGTTACTTGATAGCAGCCAGAAATGACCTGAAGGACAACTACACATCATTGGCTAAGAAATGGATTGATTTTCTAAGAAGTAGAAATAAATATATAAAAATGAGTATTTAGGCATATTTTCACTAGCCCTGTAGATTTTCTCTCCCACTTGTTTTCTCGCTCAAGTAGTCAGTTCGGGGATTAACGCATAGCACTTTGTTAATCAGTATCAGATCTCGGACACCGCCCATCGTAAGAGATTTATTCTTTTTTTGCTACTGTAGTCTTGTATACATTGTGTTTAACATTATGTTCTGGTTGATAATCAGTAATCAGTATTATATCTACATAAAAGTAAACAGTTGGTATGCGTGCATAATTTGGTATACTCTTGATCAATTCTTAAAATAACCTGACAAATTCTTGTTTCTATTAATTTAAACAGAAAACGGCAAATATGAATGAATTAATCATAATACAAAATAAAATCTACAATGGTTATGTTATTTTTATGTCATTAATGAATTGTTCAAAATTTCCCGTAGGTGCTTCTGTTTTAAATTTAAGATTAGGATGTGTATAGACAAATCGTAAAATATAATTTCAATTCTAATCCTAAAGCTTAACTCTTAATTTAGACTTCAAATCTTAACCTTAATGTGTTAATTATGTTTTCGTCATTAAATTTATTCGTCTTCTTTCGATAGGAACTTAGTTGTTTCTAATCGGCTTGAGATTTTTTTCAAATGTTTATCCATAATGTAATTGTGTGATGTAACTGTTTGATCCATTTTCTTGTGTTTATTCAATTACAGGTGAAATATTGGATTATGATACATTTGTTTATAGTATTTTACAATGTTTAACTAGTCTTATTTCATCAAAATCCAGAAAATCTATGATAAAGTATCTTGATGAGTTATGCTCTCAATTATGTCAACTTGTTCAACTACCAGAAAAAACAGTAAGTTGTTGACATGTTTATTGAGTCTTTTAACAACCAAATGTTTATGATGTGGTTTCCTAGTTATAGTAAATTATCTTGAAATCTCTTAGTTATAGAAATTTGTTTATAAAACAATCATACAGTTGGTATTATGTGATCATAGAAATAGTTAGGTGAGTTATAGAAAATGCAACTTTTTTCATCATCGACTTTTCGAATACACTGTAGTTGATATATTTACTAACGTCTTTGTAGAATTACCGTACTTATTTCCTGTCATTGTGTGGTGTACTCTGCTGATGTCGACAGATATAAGTTGTATATATCACCAATCAAAGTGGGATGCCAGGCGGCAGGAGGTTGAGAAAATTTTAGAGAAGTGAAGGAGAATCGAGAGTGACTGTCGAGCACAGAGCCTTGGTTTAGCCAAAATAAACAATACAGTCTATTAACACAGGGAAAAACAGAGACATAAGTAACATACCGAACAGTAGCTAGAGCATAGGAAAATTGAATCAACAAGGCAAATATTGTTTTATAATGAACATAAAATTGTGATTGGCGAATAAACAAGACATAGTCATACAAGGTCAAAGAAAGTTAATGTGGTGGTAGGCGTTTCACTTTATCATTGGTGAGTTCGTTTATCAATCACATTTTACAGGAACAACAGTCTGAGAAAATTGATGGATATTTTACGAATGAAGTATTATTATGATTCTCACATTTTACCAACATATTCTGTAATGTTGTGTTAAAATACATTTGATTGTCTCCACTTGTGTTTTCGTTCATTACAATTGTATTTTGTGATACTTCAGAGAAAACAACCTCATATGAGACTAAATTTGATTGGCTAATTCATATTAGATGATGAAGTAAATACCACTGAAATTTAAAATGTACGTTTTTTAAAAATTTATTAACTCTTATTCCGGTGAATCATAACATCCTCATCATGACTTGAATTAACACATGTTGATCTAATAAACCGTATTCCAATAACAGTATTACTTCGAATGATGAATATTAGTTGAATCCAGGAAGTGCTTTTTGTCCTATTCAGGGCTCGTTGGCTGAAAGTGCCTTGTTCCCAATACTGATGCTCACAGGAAATCGAAATCACTACCAGTATGTCATCAAAAACTGACTAGGTCTTTTGTGAATATCAACAGCGAGAAAATACAAACCTTCACAACTAATGATTTTCATAACTGTTGTTATCATTATTTGTTTTCTTAGACAATTTACAAAGCATTGTTAAAATTTTAAGTTTAATTTTAGGCTACAGCGTTGCTCGTAACCATAAATTACATCTTTCTTCGTGATCACAAGTCGGCTTTCTTCATTTACTTTCTCACAGTATTTCCCCTCAACGCTCATCTTTTTTCTAAAATTGATTCACATATTTTCTAGAGAATTCCATCACAATGAACCTGTCGTTAGATTCGCCGGAACTGCTCTGACGAGGTTGAATATAGAAAAAACATCGTCTTAACTTTTCAGGATATTTATAAATTAAGGAAATATAAATAATAAGCAGTTCTACAGCAAATATTAATTAGTTTGTTTTAAACTCACATTCAAGGTAATTAACTCAACAACTACAATCAAATCCCGACTCAGGTACAACCATGACCAATTCAATATGATCTAGCAGTTAGAACTATTGAGAAAACAATTAGTTTGTGTTTTATCCCGACGAGAATAACGAATGGTAACTATTGGGATCTATTTATGGACTAATACTTATAGTCCTTTTATTTGACCTATTCGTTTTTGTTATATGATTTACTATTCTCAATCTATTAGTCACAGATTCTCACAAGTACAACCACTTTTGTCTTGATCTTTTACAAATTTTATTTTTTATTTTATGATGTGATGTGGTCTGTTTGGCTTGTATATAAGTCAATTATGTTTGAAATATATGATTCTTGTCACGGAGGCTGAAATTGACTTTCTGGACTTAGAAGGCAGGGTTAGGCGTACAAAGGACCAATCGGAACTCTAGGCTGCTCGTACTAGTCTATGCATCATTTGCTTGATCGTAAAAGTAAATATATCTAAATTGGCAATCGTATTTCGCGATAGTCGTATAAGCATAATGACATAACAGTTTACATTTTGTTTAACCAGTAAAATACAAGAAATTGAATAAATTCAAGTTACTTATAAGTAGCATAGTTACACTACACAAATTCTACGCTGGTTTCATCAGCACATTTTTAGATCGAGAATTGTTACCAGTCGTTTTGACCCTATATCATTTCTTTCTTTCTTTTGTGTAATATTAAAGCTGGAAATTTGGTCCAACAGTATCGCTGAATATGTCGTTGATTCTGAAGAATTTCTTGGTTATTCCGTTCGTTTAGTTACTATGGATTTAATTAAGGTTAGTCCAATGATTACAATCCAACAATACCATCGAATTTTACTAAATTACTAGCATTTAGTTAAGATATGGGACTTTTTTATTCCTGTTTTGTTGATTTAAAAATATGTGGACATTTTATTTGTTTGTCAGTTTTCATTATTTTCTGTTTTATTACAGTAGATTTTGTCAGTAATGGTATGATATATATGGATTAGCGTAAAAGAATCGCGACGAATTTTCAACTAGTTTTTAAATAGTCAAGCAACAGTCTATCTAAATGGATGGTTTATGAAAAGAAGAACGTTAATATTTTAAAGTGTAAACATTTTACGTATATAATAAGTTTATTAAAATCTTCTACAAGTTACCCCTCGTGTTAATTGGGAAAAAAATAATGACACATCAATTCAGCATAGCTTATCCATCTTCTTTAACTCGTATAAGAACACAGGCAGATTTTTAACAATTCTCATGTTGTTTCTGGCCAGGGTTAGATGTTTAGAGTTAGTGCTGATATTAATCATGATACGAAACGCTTTTCAGCCATACTGACGAATCCGTTTCGTTCAAAAATCCAAAAGGGTGCTTAATATCTGATTAGTTCATTCATAACGAACAGTGAAGTTGAGGAAACATTTCTGTGATGACGTATTATATTATCATTACAGAGTTTCATTGATAAGGATTACGTTCGAAATTCTTGTAATACGGACGAAATTTATTGCGAACTTTAACGGTAAAGCGGTTGGCAGTCAGTACTTGAATAATAATGAGAAAAAAACCTGGAGAGAAGATAGGAATGCAGACGAAGCTTGGTACTCAACGAAGACCAAAATAATACAACTGGGAATATATCGATAAAACAGTTGCTCGTTCAAATATAGTGCGAAATAATCAGTAAAATTCAAATGACACTTATGTACCATATGAAGATTGTCTGATGCTTTGCAATATTCACTTTACGTAATCACTATCTACGTAAGCTGGTTACATTTTTTATCACCACTGTGAATTATACTACTTTTTTATTGTTAGTAGTTGCAGACACTACATCGTAAATGATGTTTCTTGATGTTTACTTTTTTACTGATAGAAAATTGCATCTAAAGTTCACAATGGAGCTCAATTTATTAATTGTGCAATTAATAAAATGTTAATACTTTCAGAAAGTTTGCACAACGAAGGTGTTGTTTATTGGTAAGTGGTATGATTTGTTTCTAATTTTTGTACAAAATTTCTTGTCATATTTCATTGGAGTCGGTGTATTTTTTTCAGATGTTTAAAAACAAGTATCTTTAAGGTGGGTTCGTTTTAATTTTGCGGGCAATTCGATTTCAACTTCCATTGTCCTTACTTTTCAATGCCTGGTAATCTAATAATATGGTTTCTTCAAAAGTTGCTATCCCTCATATCAGTATACTTTAAACAACAGATTATTCAAAGTATTTAAGAATTTATGGTTCGTTGAATACTCAACACTATACCTTCACTTAAAATATGACCTTGATTAACTTAATTTAGTTTAATGAAGTTTGAACACGTGTAATAATTACTATTTTTCATGTGTTCTGGAAATCCTTAGTTGTGTGATCCCCCCAATTTATGTACTAGTTTAGATTTAAGGCTTTGCTGTTTCCAATTCTGCTGATAACACAGAAGTAAACACTTCCGGGTTTTCAATGGTGGTCTAACATCAATCTCAATCAAAAACAAAGTATTCTGTTTTCAGTGTCATACAAATTTGTTGTAACCTGAAAGTAGTGTACTTTCACAGCATTCCTTATCGTCGTAAGAAATTAATATGATTAAGAGCTGCTAAGATTGTGGTGCTTGCTACTTATATTGACATAAGTAGTATATAACGCGAGTCAGGAATGTAATGTCTGGCGGCGGAAGATTGGGAAGATCAAGAAAGGAATAACGGGAATACAAATTAATTAGTATAGAAATGCAAAAACAATGAAGTCCGAGCCTGTTGTACACTTCATTGATTATAGGCAGACAATGATAATATTCTATAATATTATAATCTATCACAATATACAGCTTTCTCTTTTGATCTCTTTTTGTAATACATGGATTGTAACATTTCTAAAGGTTTGAGAGTTAAAATTTTATGTCAAACTGTACTTTCTCATAATACCGTACAATTAATATTTTCCTATGGTTTACTCTACTTTATTTACAATCAGTCTTTTATTTTATATTATTGGTTTTCCTACAACCTGAAATACTACTTAGTATTTTTAATGTCAAATTAACCTTTTTACTTCTAATAATATATAAGTATATACTGAGTATCTGAAATTCTTCAGAAAGGCCTATGTAATTTCCGACACATGACGGTTTTAAAGTTTCACTGAAAGTTATGATAGATGGAATCTACACACTCTAAACTTCCTATGTTGTTCCTTATTGTTTCACTGAAGTGAATCTTTCCTGAAAATGATCTCTTTTCATAGCTAATGTCATGCAGTGATTCTAGTTTTAAGAAATCCTTGAATATCACGAAGCTATTTCATCATAACATAAAGGATACCTTAGTGACAATAATCATCCACAAACCTATCGGGGGTTGAACCCAAGACCTCTCTTTATCTTTTTCCTGTTTATTAAAACTTCACTGTTTATTTTTTTCTTTTTGTTTTCTTCTGTAGGTGGAAATTACTTGAAGCCTGTCTTTATATCAGTGGTAATTTAGCTTCAAATTCTATCAATATTTCAGTCATAACAATAGATCAATTCATCAAACTTTAAACAATACATCCAATTCCTGTTTCATTGAGTTCGATGTATTTTATACACATTATTTAAAACCAAGTTTAGGACAAAGTGGTTAGTACTTCATTTATAGAGTTATCTTATGTTTTTATTAACCATTGATAGCATATATTGTTTTTTTTTTAAACATTTTACAAGTTCATTATATTTTTTAACATCTACTTCAAATATTCTCAGAATTGGTCAGTTATGAATAATGGTTAGAAACAATTAAATATTTATAAAGCCTACCATTCATTGGTGTGGATATATTGGATGATTGAAGGTGGTCAATTAAGACCTTTGCTTAACTTTGGTTTTTATGCAAATTACCACTCTTGAGCAAGGTTTAGTGTACTTATAACCTGTAATATTCGAACCTTAAAGTATTGCGAAACTAGAAAGTTATTGTGTAAGTTGTAAGCAGGTTGTATCAAAGAATGATTTCATCATTATCCAACTATTATATGAGTAGAAGACAGTCGTAAGCTACTAGTATTTGACCACAGATGCCTTAGAAGTATTGCTGGCGTCTGCTGGGATCACCGGGTAAGTAATAGGGAGGTTAGACGCAGGGTATTAGGGAATGGTGGTAAATCACTTGATGAGGTTGTGAATCTTCATCGACTGAGATGGTTAAGCCACGTGTTATGTATGCCTGAACACCGATTACCACGACGCGCAATCTGACTAGTGTTGGGAATGGTTGTAAGAAAGTTAGGGGTGACCAAACCAAAACGTGGCATCAGTGCTTGAAGTCACTAACTTGTAGTGTGAGCCATGTTGGTAGATGCAGACTACTTGGTTGGGGTCCGCGTGACTATCGTAACCAATGGTTGGAGACTGTGGGTGACATGGCTCAGAATCGATCACAATGGCGTCGGTGTATACACTCCCTGTCTTCCCTTAAACTAAGAGATTAAAATCGCTTCATATCTTTCTTTCTACGAACCAATTCTTTCTTCCTGTACTATATCCTTGTATGTAATCTTTCTTTTATATATTACCACCTCTGAATTAACTACTTTTATGAATCCGGTGTCCATCTTGTTGTGTTAATGAGGTATGGCAACTTGGACCGATGCATATGTGTGCCTGGTCCTACGTTGCAGCTGACTGACTGACTATTATATGAAAATTAGTTGTCTTGTTATAGTTTTGGTTTATTACAGACCTCAAATATGTTGATTGTTTCCTATCAAAAATGGATATGATCAAAGCGAATTTAAATCATTTTTTGTCAAAAATGTTGTATTATTCTGCTAATTCACACTTTCTTTGCTGATGGTCGAATTGAAAACTGTAATTTTTTTTAACGAAGTTTCAAATGTGTTATTTTCCTACATTCATAACTACATGTTTATCCACTTTATAATAGATTTTTATTTTTTCAAGAGTTTTAAACTTGCGAATTATTTTGCTTACTTGTTGTACAGACATCTGATATTATGATAATAATAATAATAAAGTACGTTATCGTATACTCTTCCTCTCTCTCTCTCCCTCTTATCTGATTAGATATTTTGAAGTAACTTTTGGTAAATCCATTAATATTGTTATATCTAGAGCTTATATTCTTGATATACCGCGTATAACTTGAGTACTAGAACACTAGAACCCTTCCAAGTCTCAACGAGAAGACAGAAGGCTAGTGAAATGAATGTTATTCCAGACAGTGTCGATGACCCTAGTCGAAAATACACTCATTTTGTAGGATGAAATCACATATAGAGCATAGTTTATGTCAATTGAATACAAGAATATCGTATATTATACAGAATAAAATATCAAACAAGAAAATAAAATCGAATACTACATTGAATGTTCATCATATTGAATTAGATAGGAAGTAATACTACACAAAACTCATAATGAGTTAATCAATCGAATATTGACTTTTCTTTCCATTTTATCAACTATATACTAGATTAATAGTTTGCTTCAAATAATATTCAATTCCCATTGTTACGTTCTATTAAATCAATATTATTTTTTTCTTCACAACAACATACCGTTTGATTTATTCTAGTTAACCTGTGTTGACTTGTCAACAAACAATTGTGTATACATATATATGTTTGTTTACTTTTATTATTCTATTTTTATAAATGATAAAATCAAAGATTGTTATTTTTAGCGATTGACTATACTTGAGGTAAATATCATATTTTTTCTTTTAAAATCTTATTTTAAAGCAATTCATCTGACTATTTAATGTTATACAACCGACTATTTCAATTATTTCTTTTTAAGATTATTCATCACGTTCCTTTTATTCACTTGTTACTAGGAGTGTCTCTTTTTTGAGTTATTTAAAAGCGAGAAAAAAAATCACCTTTTAACTTTGATAATAAAAACTATTTTACTCAATTTTTTTTGTTGTCCAGGAAATATTGTTTTATTTATACATTCTCAGTTGAAATGATATGCATGTATTGTTTACATTCTTTAATATAAATTACTTTATCAGTTTAGGGGTTGTGGAGTTTAAGTTCTTGATTGAGATCATGAACAGATTGATGTTAGACCACCATTGAGAACCTGGAAGCATTGGACGGCCGTTCCGTCCTATTGTGGGGTTCCTCAGAAGTGCGCATCCCGCGGGATTCGAGCCCAGAGCCTTCAGTCTCGCCCGCGAACGCTTTGTTAAGTCTTGCTGATTTGGACGCTATATTCGTTCCTAAGCTATTCTGATAACACACACGCTAGAACTATACAGCGACCTGAACACCAGAAAGAAGACGCAAAGTATGAAAGAAACCCTACTCCAAGGTCCGTTTTTGTACAGAAAACATGGGTATTTATAGATGTTAGCGTTTGTTAAATCAACATCATATTCCGACCAATCCGTTGACGATATATACTACTGACCAATACTAGCACACCACGTTGGAATTCTAGAATGCTCCATCATGCTCTGGTTGACTAGGGCTCTTCGGCTCCTTTCGGGCCTCCGTTGAAGTTCTCCGAAAGCTGACTCAACACGCTTAACCTACTGGACCACTGAGCCGGCATCCAATGGTGTTAATTTCTAAACTCAATCAATTAATTTAAAGAATATTGTGTTATTTTATGAATAAAATTGTTCCTTCTTTTCTTTTACTTTGATTTTATAGATTTTCCATTTCTGCAAGCAACAGCACTTCGTTGTATGTCTCATTTATATGAAGCTAATATTCTTAATGAAACTCAAGCACAATGGTAAGCGTCCATATCATTGATAATACACACTCACAACTCTTTTATCCACTATTAAATTCAATAATCTACAGTGTGGATATGTTTTCTTTTGAAATAGAGAAAGTGATCTTCCATAAGTTTTGTTAATTTGTTTTTGAATAATTACTATTATAAATAATGGATCAATAATCCTTGTTACTGTTGTAGATTCAAAATTTTATATATTGCCTGTTTGGTGTAAGTAAGGTCACTTGATTATAAGATCCACCCTTTACTTGTTAAAAACCAATTACCTTTCTCTTTGTCCAATAGCATAATGACTGTGAACGTTGACCGATATCCTTTTGATCTATGCTTCTCATTTTATCCACTCTGGTCAATAAAAAAATCTAGTAGACAGAATTACTTACGACTACATAGTAAAATTTATAGTACTTCTCGATTGAATAGTCTTAAAAGTTCCATCTCACAATTATTCGCTCCGCTTTTACAACTACACTTTTTAGTCGATTGGTAGTTTTCAATTTTAATTAAATCCTACTAACATGTAGATAATAAATGTCGGACAGAGTGAGGACTTTCAGTGCATCGAGGCACGGAGTTGGCAGAGCACTTGGAATCCGATTACGAAGTTTGTTCAGATAGCAGAACACACCAAGAAATGCCAATGGACGGTTGAAGGCTATGTATATTTATGAGTATAAATATATATTCCTCCTGCCTATTGTCGTGTTTTACATAATCACTTTCTTCACGTTTTCATTTCATTTCTCAATTCGAAACACTAGTGTGAAGAAATTAAGATTTTATGCTTTAATGAACAAATTCTCAATTGTTCAAATAAATTATTACAAATCGATAAATAAAATACAACGATATATTGTGTGGTTGAACGAAGAAAAATGTTTGTTTACAACACCGTCTTATTGATGTGTGAATACCCTACATCTTCTCTCCCCCAGTTAAACTTAAACGCGAAAATAAGACAGTTACCTGGTAGAATAATATTTTATTGCTAACAAAATATGAATATAAAAATTGTTATGATTAAATAGTGCAGGGAATTTCAAGGGGCGATTTTTAAAGTCCCCTCCAACCCATACACAAATCAAGTGACTTATGTGGCATATATGTATTCGATGCCCCTTTGTACCAATATTTATGTGTTCAAAATAAATGAATACACCGATCATGAAATAATGTAGCATCTAGCTATACACCAACATTGATAAAACTATGATATTTTGTTTGAATTATTTCATGTATTTTACCATAATATATTAAAGTTTTTATTTATTTCCTGTCTACTTTCTGCGGCTCCCGACTATTGGAATTAAACTTGAAACATTCTTTTATCATTGTTCAACAGCTAATTAAGGCGTCATATGAATTAGATATGTAATTCAGTTGATATTTCTTTTTTGAATCTTGTCTAGATTTTATACGTCATCACGGCGTTACTATGTTTTGTTACACACTTTCTTTAACTTGTTAACTATCCAAATATATTTATAGCTTGGTGTCAATGTTTGTTAACATTGTCGGTCTTAATTGAATAATGGAATTTTCTTAAAGCTCTTAACTCTTGGTATTCTAGCCGCAGATCGAATAAGGTTTTACCTTTGTATGCCCAAGTGTGAACTCTTCTTATTCGACGAATTTTTCCAATGTATGTTTGTTCTAGTCATAAACTTTTAAAAAATGACGGGAATTCATGACTCCTACCAAGTATTACAATATTCAGCATAACGTTTCTTGGTCAGTCGACTCTTCTTCCCAGTACTATCTGTGATTCTGAATGATGTTACCGGGTCGATTATACTATTGTAAGAATGGATTTGTGCTAATAAAACGGACAATTTGACAACAAATACCTTGGAATAGCTCTAGAACATTTTATTTTTGTGGGTTATGGAATATCAGAAAATAATAACTAGTACGTAATTGTGAATAACTAATATTTGGGAAAATAATCACTTTATATGCATTTTTAAGTTGGTTGTTCAATTAAATTACTCCGACCACATAACAGTTTCAATCAAACTCTGGTACACGGGAACCGTTAATTCATCCACTTTCTGTCTTTGAGCTCTATATTTTTACAAGCGTTTTGAAACTTGATAGCGTTTATAAACTATATAAAGCAGTGGTTTAGTAATTACAATGTTCTACTTTCAACCACTAAGTCACAGTTTCAATTCCCGCTCCACTTCAGTTTGTGCGATCGTGTAGCATCGCCAGTTCTCACACATAAACTATGTTGCTTAAAGTAGAGTACACCGACCTGTACTTGCTAAATGATTTGAGTTATATCATATTTTTCCAAATCAGTTTTGTTTTATTTCTCGATTCTTCATTAAATTTACGTCTATTTATTTTTAGCTTTCCAAGTCTACTTTCGAACGCAATGTCTGCTACACAATCATCGATATTGAAAATTTCTGCTATGCATTCACTTGACACTCTTCGTGCAAATGAAAACAACATAAAGAAGCCAATGGAGACTAATACAACAGCGTTTGTCGCATCGTCATCTGTATTTATTACGAATTATATTGTACCGCATTTGCCTAATTTAATATCGAATTTATTGGAGTGTTTATCTACATTCGGTGAACCGGTTTTAGATGTTGGTCTATGTGGATTATATAAATTGTTATGTGTTGATTTAAATCAATTTACTCAATCGATTATTACACAAATAATTCCTATTATGGTAGGATTATTTAAGCACTGTTTCGGTGGTAAGGTTTCTCTTGTGTTTTCCCCTTTTGAAATGGTGTGTGTTATGTTTCTTGATATATTTCGAGACGTTAATCGACGTCACGTGTTAAATTCTCCAGTAAGTATTCAGATTATAAAATTCTCGCTTCTCATCTCCTATTCCGATCAAAACTTGAAGTCCTTAGATCTGAGCGGTAATCCTTTCTGGTTACCACGATCGACCTTGAGATAATATAATCTACACACCTATTGATTGCCTATCCACATATCGTTCTTTATCCTCCGTTTTGAATTCTAAGAGAAATCTAGAATCCTGTTTCTATTATTACTATTATATTTCAATCATCCAACTGGTACAGCACAACATCACTCTCAAACACTCATTAGACTGCACAGCGTAGCAAATAATAATCATAGTTTAAACACAATCATGCCATAAATGGCTGAAAACAATGCAAACAGTATGTAATTAATTAGAAATAATTTAGTGATCGTATCACGTATAACAATAGTTGATAGGTTCACTGGAAGCTTACAATGAATTAAATGTAGATATACAATGATATAGTTATCTACTTACTGCACAGTAGAAATATGAATGATATATAGAATAGTCCGAAAATTTCTAACGTTTTTAGTACATATTCCGCCACAACATTTTTACTTCTTGTAAACACTTAGACTTCTCATATTTCGGATTGGATATAAAGCATCAGAAGCATAATTATGTCAGTTATAAAAAACACAAAACCTGGCGCTTATTTGTATCATTTCAAGTTGTCACACTATATAATATTGTCAGGAGAAATGTTAGAGTAGTAACAGTATCAGTTATAAAGGAAAACACTGTTCGTATAGAATATGATTCAATAATAAAGAATGAATTTGCAGAATAAAAAGTATAAGTATTTTGAGACAGGGTGTATTCATCTATTCCTTCATCAACCATTATAAACTGGGCTTAGTTAAACAACCATTAAAAACTGGAATGGACTGAACCATTGCTTCGTCCTTATGTTGAACTCTTTATCAACTCACATCCACAACACTACCAGAAGGTAAAACCAAAAAAGGATAAGTAATTGCATACTTGGATAAACTAGCTGTTCATTGCTTCCTGGTTTTCAGTGTCTGTCTAAGATCAATCCGTAATATGAACGATAAAATTCAACAATCTCCACTAATTTCTTCATGTTAATAGTTGACTTAATTAGTATGACGAACTTTCCATGTCTTTATTATTATTATTATTATTAATTAATTAATTTATTATTATTATTAGACTATATGCTATCCTGTTATCGTTGCATATTTCTCCTCTTCTAGTCGCTACAACACTTTCGTATTACACAAGAATAATCCGTGTTCTCTATAAAGTTGCCAGTTCAAATAAAGAGTCAATTGAAGCCATTGAAAATGCACTTCTACCTACTTTAATTACTTATTTAGAAAATCATGAAGTATCAGAAGTGGAGATATTGAAGTAAGCACAAGGGAATGATGGTTTTATTTCGATAATTTTTTTTATTGTTAACCAGTTAATATAACAGGAAAGTAAAAGTATTTTCTCCTTTTCATCATATATTACTTTAATATGATAATACAACTGGTGATCAAGATTATGCTACTAACTAGACTGGATTCTTGATCGATGGGGTATATATAGACTGGATCAGGTACACGATTCACTAGCAGTTATACAGAACTTGAGTATACGCTAAACGCTGCTTTATTCCACCCATTTACAACTTTCTATACTTAGTGAGTTTAGAGTAGAAATCAGTAATACAGAAGGAAATTATATATCTAATAGTCTGTAAACTTAGTGTCTGTTTGTACACATACAGTGGCTAATAACACATACTTTCACTAGCAACACGTCACTGTTGCATATTCCCTTATGATCCCTTTTAAAGGTTTGTGTAATAAGTCGAATTGATATATATAATTGTTATAAGGCTTTTATTTGAACGGCTTTTTGGATTACTAAGCGGACAAATTCAATGCTAACCGATAGATGATAATGAAGTATGTATTGTAATACGAAATGGTCGAGCAACAGCTGGTCACAAGATGGAATAATTGACGTAAACCAGTGTAATCGACATTTCAAAATGATTGATTTTACCCTATTACCACCGTTACAAATTAATCTTTAATGGTTTGTACCTCAAGGACGTTTGGTAATTAATTGTTAATTATTAACAGATGAAATGCGCTGAATCATACACATGAGGCTCCTCCTTAATAAACTAATAAATAAGTGTTCTCTTCTAAGAAAATTACTCATGTACAAACTATTGAACACAAACATATCAGTAGCAACTTTTAAGTCGTTCACTCTCTGATAGAATTCATTCCTTGAATTATCAAGCTTGATTCTTCTTTGATCATATTTTTTGTTATTAACTATGAAACTGTGTTCTATGTTAATGAGTTCTGTAGTTCTTTTTTGTTAATAACATGTACTGGTATAAATGGGTATCGAAATCACTACACACCACAGAAATAACAAAATTAGATTGTGAGGAGCTTGAGGAAGGACAGCGAGCGTATTCACAATAAATAATGGATAGAAAAAAGTGGTCGAGAATAGTTGATAGCAAGGGAGACATTTCAGTTAAAAGCACAGTCATGAAAAGCTTCTTTCCGTTAAGGGGCTCCCTCACAATTTTATAAAGCGTGTAAAAAAATTACAACCAGGTTTCCGTTGGCTTCCGTTCAGATCTATGTTTGATAACACTGTTTCAAGCCACTGTGTTTCATAATCCCCAGGACCTTATTCAGGGATTCGTGATGAACTGATCTACAGCAGTCCTACACGGCTTAGTTTTATATCACGCCGCCATGACATAAATTGATCGTTTCCCTCTACCTTTTTCAGCCAATCCTTGATTCGGCAAATAATGCACGATGTGAAAGTCACTTATACGACATTTGTAACACATATCCAGTTCATCAAAGCTGGTAATTCAAAATAGTGATACCAGTTGTATTTTTGTTACAGCACCCGAGCACACATTGCCAAGCCTCAAGATTGCTAACATGATGTTTCTACTGAATGTCGGTACAACGACTGAACGTAGAAAGTCCTCGGAGAAGCCAACTTTCCGAAGCATACAACAGTGGGCTTCTTACTGACATGTATATTTGATCCGTTACAGACGGACTGACATCATGATGAAATCAAGGATGACCTGGATTGGCATAATTCGCTTTGACTTTCACCATGTAAATAAACTGATCTCAGCTGTCATACCACCAGCGCCAGTAGGACGAAATGACTGCTCGGTACTCTCCAGGCTTTGGCGTTACCCTTAACTAAAATAATTCTGTAAAGAATACGACTTACAAATTAAATCAATCACCACAAATTCACTTTATCAATAAGACTAAATGATTATCTCGAATACATTATTGCCTTACGTATGACAATCTGTCGTATGCTTTTAAATTTTCGAATTTGAATTCGTGGGTCAATCTAAGCTAGACCAATACTAAAATCCCGGAAGCACTGGACATGCACAACAGTGCACATCCATGATCCCCGCATACGGGACTAGAACCCAGGACCTTCAGTCTCACTTGCGAAGGCTTAACCCTTAAACCACTGAGCTGGCATACAACGTTGTCAAGGTCTAACTTCAATCGATCCATGATAAATTTCACTGACAATAAACTGAAAACACCTTTCAGTACCTAATTTATGTTTATTTATAAAGAAATCTAAACACTTGTATTTTCATTTTTGCGCAAGTAGATCATACCTTAAAATTTTTTATGACTTAAGTTTTAGGGTTGTAATGGTAATTTGATATCGTTTTTGTCTTCTAAACTCAATGTAATTCATTTCAATTCGTTGAATTTCGTTATTGAATCAATTTTCTGTCTATCAATAACTCTTTTTAAAGTATACTGTATTTAATGTCACAATGGTTTTGTTCTGTGGTTATAGGCAGCCTTGAAAGTATTCAGTGTGTTGATCAGTCCATCAGATTCGGAATTAGTTCCAATTTGATCCACCGAGTATTTCCAGCTGTTGTACATATCGCTATCACAAGTACAGATGCTGTAGTGATTTCAGTAAGTTATTTTACTGAGCTATTGGATCTGTTATTGTATAAACTTTGTTTCTTTTTCATTCTGTTTCCTCTTATCCCTAATTTATTCCTGTGAATAAGTCAAAACATTCAACGCTTTAAAGGCTAGATTTTTCCGTTTACACAATTTTATTTCTGGCGATTTTCAATTATAAGACCACAGGGTACATATTTGGTAAAGAGTCTAATAACAAATTACTCAAAAATTTATCTATTTACCACACTATATTTATTATTCTTAGTTTCAAAATGTCACGCATATTCCTCATTCGATAAACAATAATATACACTCTGCGATCATTTAATTCGGTCAGTTTGAGCTTTCGTTGGCCACATGTATTACGTATGCTTAACCATCCCCTAACTCAAGAGCCAATGTTGGCTGATTTCGAACTGTGTTGAAAGATAAAAGTAGATAAATCAAAATGTAATATCAATGGTTGAAGACATTATGTTACGTTGATCGAAATCAATCATCATAGCGTAGTTATATTTACTATTCATCTTCAGATCTTTATTCGTAGAATTCGCTCATGACTATCTTCTCATTCTACTTTTTCTAATCATATTTTTAGCAGTTTTGTTTTTCTCATTATTGTTTCTATTACATTATTCGCATTTATTTATTATTCTTATTGTTGGTTTCATATGATTATCCCTATCGTCTAACAACTTGAATCTATACGTATTTGTACTGGGCTCTACTCTGATTATCACTGATTGTTTGACAAAGATGACTTGAAAAAGTGACTCATATGAAGTCATGAAACGTCGAAAATCTTACTTTCTTGTCACTCAGAGCGAAAATTACAAATCGTTTGAAGTATTTCAATATATCTCTCAATTTTATTATACTCTTTATACAATATGATTTAATTCATTCACCAGATACTTGGATATTAGCCATACGCTCCCCAAAACAAAGGTAGGTGAACCAATCTCCAACCCTGTGACTTTGTGACCAGTCGTCAAACGCATTAATCATAAGATCGAGTAACAGGTACATATCTACTTAACTGTAATTTATAGACGGTTAATAAGCTAAATCAAAGCTTACAATTAGGACAATATGAAAACATTGTACATCAAGTGTTTTTACTACCTATACAAAAATATATGTGGCAATTCATCTATAGAATAGTTCTTTAAGTTCCATCTTTCCTACTTATTATTATCCACATATATCTAACAGATATGATTCTACTTGTATTTATCATTTGGGTTTAAAATAGGTTCTGCGTTGTTAACTGTACTAACCAAATTTAATCTTTACTCGCTTAAATGCTTAATGCTGTTTCTTTTCGATATCAAAACCTAATTCTTGTAGGAATGCTGTGATGTGATACGCTGTTATTTAGCAGCCGGTTCTTCACAAATTCTTGAATGGCATGATGATGAAGGTGAGTATGTATTTCATAACTTTTATAAATTGAATTACCTCGTATGATTACTATCAATCATTGGAGTGGTAATTTAGTGGTTGGGTCGTTTGGCTTTCAGACAGCAGGTTGCAGTTTCGAAGCACGCTCCAGCTGCTTCGCTTCAGATAGTATTCTGGTATATGCTACTTATGTCTGTCGACATAAGTAATACGTGACCTTAATCAGAAGTGGAATCCCGGGCATTAAAATGTTGAGAAGACCGTATCGAAGAGAATGGGAACAGAAATTAGTTGTAATAGCAATCAAGAAACGATGGAGTTTGAGACAATTGATGGATGATTTGTAAATGAAGTATTTAATATTTAGTTTTCACATTTTACGAATTGACTGTAATTTTGAATTAAACAATAAATTGGTTGTACCCCTCTGAGTGTTTGTTCTTTCACTTGGTATCGCCACCAAACGGGAGTTGGAAAGGGTGCAATCCTGCGGACACTATCGTGTGACTGCAAAGGGAGTTACTAGTTTAAACGGTCTGGTGCCGGAGGGGGACGTTGATTGGAGTGTTCTGGCGGGGCGGCGTTAGGTGTAGCCGTCGTCGTCGACCGATAGGAGCAGCGGGACGTGCGGCTGCTGAGCAGACATCGGGTGTGGATGGCTCAGTGGGTCTCTAGAGTTCAGGCTTTAAACGTCTTGGATGCTGAGCGGATGTCGGATTTGGATGGCCAGGCGGGTCGATATTACTACGGAGGTCAGCGCGTCAACGGACTCGACATTTTGACTGAGAAGGTGGCCCAGACTGCGGCAAAGTAGTAAATGGCACGGCGAGTAGAACAACTGCAAGAGCGACTGTTTTTTTATGGGGGATGAGTGTGATGCATGCTACATATGCCGACAGACATAAGTTTTATGTAGCAAGAATTGAAAGTAGAATGTCAAGCGGCAGAATATTGAAATAAAGAGAATGATGAAGTATGTAAAGTGCAACTAAAGGAAGACATAGAAATGTATTTGATTTATAATTTTCATACTTCACAAGGACATTGTAATTTTGCAAAAATAATAAATTGGTTTACTAAACCTGAGTTTCTATCCAGTACATACATCACCGGTCGTCACACCTAGAGTATAACTCGAAACTACGTATGTGAATCTGTACTTGGAATATAAGTTGAGTAAACAGAAACTACTGTAAATAACCCTCTATAACGACGCATGCTTTTATTTTCGCTGATCCATTTTGCTTCAGTATATCACTAGACCAATGGACGGTAGTGCTGTAGTGAACAAGAACACGGGTGGGGACAATCGATTGTATTTAGCACAAAAATAACAGACTATCTCAATAAAATGTGAATACCATAAAGTCAATCGTCAATTTGCAAAATATCATTCCATCATATCAAACTGTACTGTTCCCGTTGCAAACACTAATCCATTGTCGCCCATTTCATTGTACATGCGTTTTCTTACAATTCCATTGTGCTCTTGCTCTTCCTTTCTTGATCTTCGCCATCTTCTGCTGCCGGACATTACGTTCTTTTAACGCACGTTATATACTACTTATATCAGTATAAGTAGCTCACACCACAGTGCATTTAATTACTAAAGTATCATTTTTCAAAGACATGACTTTTATATTACTTTTTAAACGAGCCTAAACGGCATATAGAACATCAAATGATTCACACTGATTTGTTCAACAATTAGGCTTGATTATCCGAAAAGTATTATTAATAACGTATGACAGCTTAAATCATTGCTTAGATTAAGAAGAAACCTATTTCATTGGCCAGCAGCTTAAACTGGTAATTTTTAATTAAATCAATTTCTTATTCTTGCAACTTGTCACAATAACTCATATTCTGATAACTGTTGGAATCGTAATCTGTTTTTAGCTGATTAGTTAGGAAGATTCTGAAAAGTTCAATACATTTATGGTATAACTAATTGTATTGTAACTAAGCTTTCTATCGACCTTAGTTATACAGACATTGAAAACATAGTGTATGTGAAAGCTATTTAGTCGTACTACGTGACTCCTTAGCAATACACACTAGCATTACCTCACCATACTCAATCTCTTGACCAGGTTTCGTTTTTGCTCACTGTACCTACGACCAGCACCTCAATTTCACACATATCTTTTCTATGATTAATAATTGTACTTTTCTTAATTTATACTAATTGTTTTCTCATACTTATCTCGTGTTTCCCTTCTTTTTAAAAATTAAATTAGGCAATAATGGAGTTGGTTATATACTCCATGTAACTTCTCGTTTACTAGATCCCTCGAACCCAGTTGAATGGGCTACACCAGCTGGCAAATTAGCTTATGCTATTCTACTTCATTTCGATGCTCAGCAGTTGAGAGAGAATACAGATTTGTTATTACGTGGTGTACTAGCTCGTCTGTGTACATTAATCGGTAAGAATTTCGCTTTTTTCATAGACATGATTTTTATGGTTTACATCACAAACTAACCTTAGTTAAATGACCACTGCAAACCAGGATGTAGTGAACAGCCATTTATCCTTCTATGGGAAGCTTCAGCAGTTCATTGAGTTTCAGAATACTAATAACACTAGTAATGATGATGTTCGCCATCAGTGATCCGTTTCATGTAGTCATTCCCGTAGCTCTAGTGAAAAGTCACGATTAATAGAGTCCAGTCACGTCGAATGTTCGACAGTTGCCCATCAATGGTTTCAGAATATGACTGCACAATATCATGATTTGCCTGAAGTTAGAAATATAAACCATTAAATCTTTGCTCAGTAGTCTGAAGGGTAAGTACGTATCGTGAGATGTGAATGTCCTAGATTCTATCCTTTATGGATTAATGGATGGATATCTGTCACATCTTGGTATTCAGTTGTAATTGTTGATGACGGGACGATTAGGAATTTGCTAGCCGCAATATAAACAAATTGGAACTTGACTAAACTGGATTGCTTTCATACAACAACGCTTCAATGTTAAAAATTCATATCGTAATATAAGTTCGAGGTGGTACTTTCAAAAAGACTTTACTTTCCAAACACAAGTTGGAAAATGAAAATGAAATAACCTTGCTTATAATGCAACACAATGACCTGTAAATGCAAAACTACAAAACCAAAAAAAATGATACCAACCACTCAGAGAAAACAACAGAAATCAATGCGAAAATATGAATTAGTCACATGTCATCGCGTTTTTCTCTATCTAAAAATAGAAATAAAATAGATTGACGAAACAAACAAGGTTCTCTGACCTCACCTTAGCAAACGTACTGAGGAGTGCCACGTACTAGGATGAAACATCTATTCATTTCTTTTTGAATTTTATTAGCCATCTGTTTATGGTAAGTTCGCAATTCGGGCTTGGAAGTTTTATCAGCCCTACTGTGTTGGTGTCTGATGAAATCTCAGCACGGATTCGAAAAGCTCGTTTATCTTTTGCCAACTTACGTAACCTTTGGCGAAGGCGAGATATCCGTCTATCAATAAAAGGACGAGTATACTGCGCGGCATTCCGTTCTGTTTTAATTTACAGCAGCGAAACATGGCCATTAAGAGTAGAAGATACTCGTAAGCTACTAGTATTTGACCACAGATGCCTTAGAAGTATTGCTGGCGTCTGCTGGGATCACCGGGTAAGTAATAGTGAGGTTAGACGCAGGTATTAGGGAATGGTGGTAAATCACTTGATGAGGTTATGAATCTTCATCGACTGAGATGGTTGGGCCACGTGTTATGTATGCCTGAACACCGATTACCACGACGCGCAATCTGACTAGTGTTGGGAATGGTTGTAAGAAAGTTAGGGGTGGCCAAACCAAAACGTGGCATCAGTGCTTGAAGTCACTAACTTGTAGTGTGAGCCATGTTGGTAGATGCAGACTACTTGGTTGGGGTCCGCGTGACTATCGTAACCAATGGTTGGAGACTGTGGGTGACATGGCTCAGAATCGATCACAATGGCGTCGGTGTATACACTCCCTGTCTTCCCTTAAACTAAGAGATTAAAATCGCTTCATATCTTTCTTTCTACGAACCAATTCTTTCTTCCTGTACTATATCCTTGTATGTAATCTTTCTTTTATATATTACCACCTCTGAATTAACTACTTTTATGAATCCGGTGTCCATCTTGTTGTGTTAATGAGGTATGGCAACTTGGACCGATGCATATGTGTGCCTGGTCCTACGTTGCAGCTGACTGACTGACTGAATATTAAAAGTTCATATTTATCACAATCTTCTCAAACTTATGGTGTGTTATCTCGGTAGATCTAAAGTTTGAATTTGTTATTACATAACACCTGAATATGTTTTCTTTTAATTTGTGAAATATCTGGTATATAAACAATCGATTAATAATCGTTCATCGGAATTAGTTATGTTTAGATAACTTGAAAAATGATTCACTTCACTGAAATTTGTTGGCCTGCCTAAATATCTGGACTACCTGTCCCTGTCATCTAGATATTCCTATGCGTATTAATCAAATAACCTATTCAGGCAGGTTTGTAAAAAATTTTACAACCTTTCACTGTCCAAGTTACAAAAGAGTACAATCAGAGACATCGTGGTGGGTGACAATATGCATTTAAAAAAACGAATTTACATTATTCAGATGTTGATTCCTGAACTGCTGACATAATAATAATATTGCATTATTAAACGTGGAGTTAAGCTTGATGATGTGTATATTTAGAAATATTATCAGACTTTGTTTTCTATACTAGTGTAAATAGAGATTGAATAACAATAAAAGTAATAATGCTCAAATTGTTAATAATACTTTTCGATAATGTAATAAGAAAACGAAGATTATGAGAACTATGTGATGATATAAGCGAAGATTGATAGTGGCTAGCAATGGCTTATTATCCAGAGTGATTAAATTCCAAATTATGTTCACATTATTATTATTACCCTTATTATTAACTTTGTCTCATCTTACCCCATTTCCAGTCAAAATGACCTTTTGTTTTTATATATAAATGTTCTTAACAAGTATATGTGTGATCAGATTGTTCGAAATGTGATGCGCTAATATATCATCACATAATTCTGATAATCTTCTTTTTCTTATTACATTATCGAAATTTATCAAAGGGACTAATTGCTTTAAATTTGTTAATAATACATTATTCACTCTCGGATTATGTCCGTGTTTATCTTCATGTATTTGTCTCATAAAAATCTTGAAGAAAAATCATGAATAATGGTCTACTCAGCTAATGTTTATACATATGGTTAGTAGTATTTATTAGTAATACCAATAATAATAATGGTTGAATTGTTGTAGTACTTATCATTCATTGAATAAAACTGTGTATCACTTTGACAAATTGTCCCAACTTAGCATATACACTAATTACTGGAATCAGTAACAAAAGATTACTTTAAATTATTTGAACTGTTGTTATCCTTTTCATTTATGGTTTATTGTTTAATTTTAATCGAATGATTTTCCAATAGTGGATTACACAATCATATTCATCTCATCTATCTACTTTTCTATGGTCTGACAATTATTTGTATCATTCATTCTCATTTGAACAGCATATATTCCAATACAGTTCACATGAAAACTTACAGTTGAATTAAATGACAAAACGGTTATCCAATGCTTCCAGGTTTTCGTTGGTGATCTAGTTTAGATCAACTCCGTGAATTCAACGATAAAATAAATCAGTTAGGAATTATTGTTGTTTATTAGTCTTACGTCGTTGATCTGTCTACCCAATAATATACAAGAGAGGACTTGTCTCGATCTAGATTAAAGTTTCGACACGATAGGCTAACTGCTTTAACCTTGATGCTAGAAATGCGTCAGTCTGGATTGAGACTAACTACCTTGGGTAGAGACAAAAACTATCCTATCACCTGATTGGCTGACAAGCGAGAGAGAGAGGGGGGAAAGATAGAAGACAAGTCGACTGGAGCACCACCACTACTCGATTTATTACCGATACCCAAATGTGATTCAGATTGGTGTAGAAATAGATGACTAAGATGACCACAACACACAAACAATCAGAATACAATTTTGTCCAAGCTGAACATAAGGCTAGAAGAATAGAGAACCAAAGGTAGTTTGGAGCAGAAAAGTTTGTCAGTGAATCATATATCAAACGAAAGCTTATGGTTTATAAAATAACCTATGGACAAAATTAAATGTTAGTACAAACTTGGAATTAATTGAAATAACGTCCCTAAATTTAGCTTGCATTATTTGTCATGGCTTATTTATTTCTCTGTTCACATCAGTTAGTTAACACTTTTGTTTGTTTTTTATTTTCTTTTTTACAAACAGTCTATTGTTGATTTTTCAGGTAGTTTTGCCAATATCTGACATACTTTTTTTCTAATGAATAAATTACATTCATCACTAAAAGCTCTTCTTCTATGGTAGATTTATTCATGGGAGAAAAAAAGCCGTTATAACACCTATTATCTAACAAATTTCTTTTGTTTGGATATTTTATAGACCGATTCATTGATATTTCTTTGAATAAGACACCTAATAAATTGTTCATATGAACACCTCAATAATTAATAAACTTGATATGATAGTGTAATGTAGATTTTCATTCAAATCTCTCTTTTTTTTCTTTCAGTAAATAAATAATATAAACTCTGCTATTTACATTGGACAATTAGTTGTATTCCTGTGACAGTTGATAACCGCGGTATTCTACAATAATCTAAAATTGATTTAAAATTATTTCATCAATCTCATTTGTCTTAAATCTCAATTGTTTAGTATATATATCATCATTACCATCATATTTTATAGGTGAAAATCCTTACATAAATTGGTTTGTTGTATAGTCAGTTGTAAACTCCGCCTAGAGTACCTCCGGGGGCTACTGCCGGTCCCAAGCCCAGATAAGGGAGTAGGGTTGGGCATGGGGTTAGCGACCCCATCCCGTGGAAAACTAACTCGCTAAAGAAACGCTAACCAGAAATAGTCAGTGTAGGTTAAAGCTATAATGTATAGATGAATCAGTGAGATTTAAGACAGAGACACTTGAGTTTTGGCGCGAAATTCATTTATCTATATACCTCAATAACATTTTGATATTATGGACTGTTGTTAGTTTGTGATGAAAAAATTTTACTCCTATCTTTAATTCTAATCTCTACCTTTAACTACTGATCTTAATTCTTCACACTGATTTACAATCCTATTTCGGTACTAGTAATCGGTTAACGTTTGCCAATGTCACTTTTATATCGTGCGAGGGTCGTCCACAAATTATATTCTGGTCATTATTAATATATCAAGACATTTTTATGACAAGATAAAAAATATAGTGCTAAAATTCTTTTTTGTTGTATGAATAAATGAGACGGTTGGAAATATGTTCATTGATGTGTATTATTTGTATCATCAAAGAACTACAATTCTTTGTTTGATTTCTAAACTCC